GAGAGGTACTCCTGCTTCCATTTGGAAGACAGGATGAATATTGCTTGTAATCTTACTGTGTGAATAAATGAGTGTTATACCAAGTCTGAATCAAGAGTGATTATTCCTGCCCCGTAACCCCAGGGTATGTGCTCGCTACAATTATGTTTTGAATGGAAATTAAAAAAAAATCAAGCCGGGCGGTAGTGGCACATGCCTTTAATCCCAGCACTTGGGAGGTGGAGACAGGTGGATCTCTGTGAGTTCAAGGCCAGCCTGGTCTACAGAGCTAGATCCAGGGAAGGCACAAAGCTACACAGAAACCCTGTCTCAAAAAACCAAAATAAATAAATAAATAAATAAATAAATAAATAAATAAATAAATAAATAAATAAATAAAATCAAAGACTGAGTGACTGGGTAATCTCACTTCTCTTAGTTCTGCAAGATGGAAATCTAAAACCAAGACAGAGTTCAGTTATCTGATGAAAATCCCTCTTCTGGATTACGGATGGCACGTTCTAGAACACTGTTACCTCACAGTGTGTATGTGTGTGGTGTGGGGCTCTTCTAATATTTTTCTCTTGCAGTAAGGACACCAACACCATGGGAATCATATTGAGATCTACCCTTATGACCTTGTTTATATACCATCCCTCCCAAGCTTCCATTTCTGAAGTTCCCCACTTTAGACTAAAGCCTCAACATGGGAGTTTTGGAGAGGCACAAGCATTCAGAACCAAACAGGCACATACTTTAGAACAAGTGTTTTTCTTAATATATTCACCGTATATAATAATGGGTTTCATTATGACATTTTCATAATGTAATGTATTTTAGTCATATTCACCCCCTATTTTCTCTTGTCCCCCTCCATGTTCTTCCTCTTTGAAACTGTCATTTTTCTTCTTGACCAATCAATAGAATTAATTAGGGATACTAACAGAGGCATGGGCAACTTACTAGTGGTCAGGCCACTGAAGAAAATCTGTCTCTCATTAGTTCACACAAGGGCACCACCAAACCTAATGGCCCAAGTTCTATTCCCAGGACTCACACGGAGGAAGGGGAGAACTGACATGGCATGTGTGTGGTCATACGTATGCCCACATCAAAATATAATAAAAAGGACTGTCATGAGTGGGAGTTATATGAGGATTAAAGGGGAATATTGTAGATGGAATTCTAAACGGTCTTATTAAATAAGAAACATAGAGCCAAATAAAGAGTTAAAAGTCCAGAGATGGAGCAGTAGCCAAGAGCTAAGACCACCTTATCTTACCACTCGCTGCTGTCCTTCCCCTGAGAGACCTTCTTCCTGTGTCCTGTCATTTTATTGCCTTTGTGTTCTGCCTTCTCATTGGCTGTAAACCCAACCACACGACTTCCTCATCACTACCTGTCTATACAGACCTCCAGGTCTCTATGGTTGGTACTGAGATTAAAGGCGTGTGTCACATAGAGATTCTGCCTGCCCTGTGATCGGATTAAGGGCATGTGCTACCACTACCAGACTTCTGCTTAATGGCTTGCTCTTAGCTCTGATCCCCAGGCAACTTTATTAACATACAGATAAAACCACATTACAGCACAAATAAAATATCACCAGAATATAATCAAAATACACTATATACATGTATGAAGAGTCCATAATAAAACTCGTGTATCGTTTACGCTAATAACTTTTTTAAAAAAGTTATTCCACTAGCAACCATTAACCACATACAGATCTTAAGGGAGGGAGCCCTTCCCGACCCTTGCAACCCTTAACTGGAGGGGTGGTTGGCTGTCCCTCTCACCCCAAACGGGGTCCAACCTTGTGCAGATTTTGCAGGCACCACATAAATCCTGGTTCACATTAACCAGACCATGAGAGGTATGTCCATCAAGAGCCCAGTTCCCTTTGTTTTATAGCAGCTTTGAAAATACGATCCAAGAACCATCACCATGATGTCTCACAAATGAGGGACGGGGGAAGCCTGAGAAATACTGTGCGCTGTCCCCCTTGGAGCTCAGGAAAGCCGCAGGAAACTCTCCTCGGAGGAAAGCAAGACGTGATCCGCCACGGCTTACCTGCAAGCCGCCAGCCGCGTTTCCAGTCCCCGCCCCCTCCCAGTGCGACAACCGCTCGGCTAGCCCATCCCTTAGGCGTCTCCAGGTAAATGCTAACTGGGGGCGGTGGCACGCAGGAGCCTGCGAACCTCTCCTCCCAGCACCCGGGAACGCGTGGATCGGGACCGTCCCGAACGCCCACCCACCCACCCACGGCGCTCGCTCCCCACCTCC